GAAAAGTCGGGAAATTCCGCCATTATCAAAACATAAGAAAACTTAGCGAGCTACAATCGCTCGGTGACATTTGATGGCAGTGATAACAGCTGCAGCCTGATTGGCCAATACTCGGTTCTTTTATTTATCTTGACATTTCATTGGTTGATGGAAAGTACCCAGATTTTTCTCAAATTGGAAAGTTTGTTCAAAGCTAAACTAATCGTTCGAGCAAACACTATCCAATTCATTTTAAATTTGAAGAGTTTGCAAAAATTAATAAAAAATAGGTCTGTTGGCAATATTGGATTTCGATGGAGCTATATAATTAGAAAGTTAACCCGGGTAGGCAGGTTAACCCTACCTGGAGTGTTTACAAGGGAAAAAGTTTACCTGCCTGCCAGGGTAACCCTAGCATGCAGATAGGGTAACCCGCCTACCCGGGTAACCCTAGCTGCCTTGTAAACACAACGACGAAAAAAAGAGGAAATTGTGAGTGTTAGGGTAACCCGCTTGCCAGGGTAACGCGCTTGCTAGGGTAACCCTCTCTCCTTGTAAACAGGCCCTAAGATTCCTTTCCATTTTTAAAGTGTTTGGAGTCGTACATAGCATATACCAGTGTAAAAAGTGGTTGGAATATGTCAAATGGAAATTATAAAGGCAAGGAGGAATAGAGCATTTTGGAATTGCCCTTTCCATGGTAAACTGTTCACCTCTGCATTGCAATGTAATCCAACTGAAATGTACAGAGACTACAAAATTGCCCCAAATAGCCTCACACACTAATTGGATTATATTGTAATGCAAATTAGAAAAGTTGCCTGTGAAAAAGGCTATTCTAAATGCATGGAGGTGGAGAGTCGAAAGGCAGGGGGAGGAGAAGGAACAGTCTGGAATATTTCATTTTTAAAGGCAAAGATATTTACTGCTGTCAACCAGACATGGGCTTTGCATATGGCAGCTCAGAACCCGGCGCAGTACAGTGCAGTGTCAGTGCAGTGCGGTGCAATGCAGTGCAGTCAAAGCTGTTTTCTTCATTATTTTGGCTTCTTCTTGAATACTAAAGTTGGGTATTTGAGTTTAATTTATCGAGGAACAAGATATTTTGTTCAAAATATCTCATTTATCACCCGGCCTACCCGGTGACACTAGCTTGGCAAG